ATGTATCTGGGCTCCTGAGAAACATTTCTTTTAAGAAAAGTGTAACAGATAAGCTACTCACAATTCTTCCTGGTACTGACCATCTCTTGTTTTTGCTCATTGTACAGAAGTTTAAATTTTATCCATGTTTAGGCTAAAATTTTGTGAATGGAATAATTCAGTAAAAAATAGTTACTTTTAAATGGATACTTAGAAAGATTTTCACACAAGGATATATATGTATATATATGTATATATGTATGTGTATATATTACACACACACACACACACAAACACACACACACACACACACACACACACACACACCACCCCCAGACTGGGACAGTTCTCAGGAAGCAAGCTTGGAGGTTGTCTCCTGTGCTTGTTCTCAGGATATGTTTGTTTCTGTCTAGCTTGATAAATACTCTGCTGAATCTACTGTATTTCATTTCAGCCTCTTGACTGTGTCCATTCCATAGTCAAGATACTTATGTAACAGTATGTATAACTCAACATACTTACATAACAGTATGTATAAAACTGACACTGTAGTCTTTATCTTTCAAGTCCACTATTCCATGTTCCACATAGTGGTCAGTGTACCGCAGGTAGCTGCATTGGATACTTTAGGAAGTTTCCTTTTTCCTAAGATACCCACATCTAATTAGTCAATAACATGTGAACTGTCTCTGAAAAAGCTGAATTACCCTGTCATGATCATTAACTCTGTCTTCAGGTTTGTAATCAGAACTGGGCTAAATGTCCCCTTCTTTTCAACCACTATGTTTCCCATATTACATATTCTGGTGGTAAGCTAAGTATTTTTGTAGCTGCTTGAAAATTTCCTGTCTTTAGAAAATAGGCTGAACTTTGCCTGTATGCTGTCTCTCCATTTTGACTTCAGTCCTGCTGTGATTTATTTCTGTGTTACCTCTCCCTTCCAAAGGTTAAATTAATCATGTTCTCTACTAGGATAAGACTGTCACATGGCATTATATAGCTGGCTTCTTTAGCACATTCTTGGTGGTACAGAGTAGAAATTTAGCAGAGGCCAAAGGTATCCAGTATAATTTTGCTGCCTGTTAGTCCCTAGCTTCTAGTTGGCAGATTATAATGTGTTCGATGGTGTTTTGTGTATTTATTTTGCTAAGTTGAAGCTTTATATACTATCATGCTTATTTAGGTGTTTTATTTCAGAGGCCACCATTGAAGACAGTTTAATGGGGCTCCTGACAGGTTCTAGTTGTTCCTATTAATCGCCTTACAATTCTCTTAACTGAGCAAATGTCACTTTCCCATCATTTGTGCTGCATTACTAAAAAAAGTTGCATAACCCTGTCCATTCATTTTACATTTTTGGTGTCTAAACTTGCCGGGCTCTCATGTTGACAGGGATATATTTGAGAAGGACTTCATATGTCACTTAATGGGGTCTGTGGTCAAATTCTGAAACTTGGTATACTGTGGTATTGCTTCTCTTAGGAGACTTTTGGGGGGGTCTCCTGAATTGAGCTTCAGAACACAGTGTTTTTGTTTTTGTTTCTGTTTTTGCACCCCTTTCTTAAAGAAGTGACTGTGATTATTATTTAGATCGTGATCATTATGCTAAAGCCTTAGTATATTCAATTGGAATACCAATTTTAAGAATGATCTTTTTAGGGCTGGGAAGGTAGCTCAGTGGTAGAGTGCTTGCCTTGTATGCATGAGGCCCTAGGTTCAATTCCTCAACACCACATAAGCAGAAAAAGCCGGAAATGGCGCTGTGGCTCAAGTGGTCGAACACTAGCCTTGAGCTGAAGAGCTGAGGGATAGTGCCCAGGCTGAGAGGTCTGGCCCCATGACTGACCAAGAAAAAAAAATGATCTTTTTAGGATCCAAAGACTTTTGTATTAAGATTATGCTTAATATTTCGTTTTTAGTAAGTTTATGGCGCTAGTAAAGCAACCATACTGTTATTGCCTCAAATAAGTATCAGATTCCATTTGTGCTGTCAGGTTTTGTCCTGAAAACAATACTCAGTTTTTTGTTAACTAGAAAAGGCCCAGTTATAGCAATTTTATAAAAGAGGACAAAGGAATACACTAAGAGATCATTAGTATCAGTTGATTTGCAGGAGTTCTTTGTGTATTTTAGTCAGTAGTCCTTTGTCAGATGTATGCATTATATTTTTTCCCCAGTCTGTTCTTTGCCTTACCATTTTTCAGTCGTGTTTTTTAATAAACATTTTTCATTTTGATGATTTATGTAGATTTGCTTCATGGCTAGAGCTTTATGTTTTAAATTCATGGAAATATTCTGTATATCTCTCCAACAGCTTAAGATTTCTATTTTCCCATTCAGAATCATATGAGATAGTAATAATGGTATGAGGTTTATTATTTATTTTCCATATTATTGGAAAGTAGACTGACTTGATGCCTTAGTGGAAAATGAGATGACTGGGTCTATGTGGTTCTATTTCTAGACTTACTTTTCTTTTCATAGATACAGTCAAGACACTCGCAAGAACCTTAATCTTCTCCTCAGCTCCTCTGCTGAAGAATTTGTCCTTAGTATGAGGGGCTTGTTAGGAATCTTTCCTTTCCCCAGACTTGATAGTAGCCCTACAAGGATTTACAATCCACCTAGGAAAACACAGTCTCCCTAATAGTCATGAGGAAAGAAGCCTGACAACCACATCTCTCAAGGATCCAGGTGGGGCACATTTCTTACATAGGTACTAATGGTGGCACTCTTGCCCCTGTCAGTGAATCAAGGCCAACATTCTGTCCTAGACTCTAGCACAAGGGATAAGTACTGTGTTTCAGATGTGACAGTAGGTTCTGTTCTTATAAGTATTTTTTTCTTATGTCTCTTTTGTACTCTTAGTTGTGAACCTACTTATTTCTTTCATAATTTTCTTTAGAGACAGTCTTGTTCTGTGACCCAGGCTGTTTTCTGGAACTTGAAATTCTGCTTCATGTCCTGAATCCTGAGTTTATAGGTGTATGCCATTACACCTTGCTATTAGTAAGTCTTCGTATTATAAGGTTATGTAGGTCTTCTAATTTCCTTCTATTTTTCAAGATTGACTTAATTATTCTAGACTTTTTTGTGTCTGAATTTTAGCATTGTCTTACTGATTTCTTTTCTTTTGGTTAAGACAGGATTTCTTTATGAACTCATACTTCTTCTTTTTCAGGACCCCCCCTTCCACTGAACCAGAATTACCATACCTTGCTCAGTTTCACAAATACAGTGCATTTGTTAGAATTTTGATAAGCACAAATAGAGAAGAATATACTCTTAAATGGGCCCAATTGATATTTAATCCTGGGTATTCTGAATTTTTCCCACAGAATTTGTGCTTCCATTTGGGTACTTTAGTTTGGTGTTCAAGTTCACTGCCTATTTCTGTGTTACTAAAACTAATGACATCTATATAGTACTGTATTTTTCATTTCTAACATTTCCTTGTGATATTTTTATGGCTTTAATGTTTATTATGAAATTCTCTTAATTCATTATGCATGCTATCTGTCTCTGCCATCTTGTCCTTTAGTATTTTTAGTATAGTTATTTAAAAGTCTGATTAATCCAACATCTAGTCCCTCTTTGATTAGAATTATCTTTGATCTTTGACTATTTACTACTAGTGATATCTTCTGATTTTTTAATTGAATGCTTACATTTGTATAAACGGTAGAGCTTGAAGTGAATACTTTTAGAAAGTAGCCCATTTTTTATATTAATTTGATAGAATGTGGGGCTAAGTAACAGTGTAGTTGACCTAATTCTGGACTTTCTTGGAACATTTATTTGATTTAGTTAAAGTGTCTTGAGAATCAGAGCAAAACTTGTCCTTTCTCCTGCTCCTGTACCCCCCTCTTTTGGGTCACCAGCTTTCTGAACCATGGGAGATTTTTCTGTAGCCCAGCTATCTGTACTAGGTCATTGCCAAGTCATTTTGCTCTCTAATCCTGCCTAAGGTTTTTGTGATAAATGAGGTATCTTTCTGATACTGATACTTGCCCAAGGTTTCTGCAGTTCTGCTCTTCCCCAGTCTTGACAGTTTAACATACAGGATATCTGAGTGGAAGTTTTTCTTTTATTTCTACTATCCAACCTCTCAGCATTTTTCAACTGAAATGTCTAGTCTCTTGGGTTGATTTCCCTAGCCTATACCCCATTTCTTCTCTTCAAACTGCAGATTCTGCTGTGTGTTGGTGGCTCACACCTGTAATTCTAGCTACTTATGAGGTTGAGGTCTGAGGATCATCGTTCAAAGCCTGTTCAGGAAAGTCCGTGAGATTATGATCTCCAATTAAAAAGCCAGAAGTGGAGCTATGTCTCAAGTGGTAGAGTGTTAGCTTTGAGCACCAAAGCTCAGTACTCAGGCCTCAAATCTGGCATGCACATACAAAACCTCTCCATACAAAATGCAGTTTTCTTGCATTTTTTGGGAAAACTATTTTATTAATAATTTAATTAGTAATTAACTTAGTTTAGGGGATCTCCTTTGGGCTCCCCTCCCCCCCGTTCTAATAAATAGACTACAGGCATCCTTAGGACGTTCTGGGACCTTCATTAAACACAGCAGATTAAATATATGTATTTTCTTTCCCCCATACCTTACCAAAATGAAGGCAAAGGAAAGAAAAGCCTCGGTTCTGGAGGGACTAAGAATGGATGGGCAATAGCAGTGGCAGAGAGGTTACTCACAGCTCAGAGTGTTAGTGACAGAATATGTTACCTGAGATAGCACTGCTAGAAAGGTAAATGAAGTCAGAAGCTATCAGAGAAACAGAAAAAATAAAATTCTTAGGACTTCAGGATCCACCAAGTGTTCATAATAGTAGATGAAAAAAGTGTTTTCTTTTCACAATTTGTTTAAATAGTAAAGTCATTTTCATGGATAATTTTAGAAAGTCTATGATGGAAGTAACAGTCTGAGCTTCTTGTTTTATAGTGTGCTTTTAGGAATATGTTGCAATCACATTTGATATTGAAGCTAGTGTTTAACCTTTCAATGTCTTTTCTAGGGTAGATTCACGAGGTGGTTTCAGTGTGGATTGCTGCTTTGATTACGAGCATGTCGTCCATCTTGCCGTTCACCCCTCCAGTGGTGAAGAGGCTGCTGGGGTGGAAGAAATCAGCTGGTGGCTCTGGGGGAGCAGGTGGAGGAGAGCAGAATGGACAGGAAGAGAAGTGGTGTGAGAAAGCAGTGAAAAGTCTGGTGAAGAAGCTAAAGAAAACAGGACGATTAGATGAGCTTGAGAAAGCCATCACCACTCAAAATTGTAATACTAAATGTGTTACCATACCAAGGTAAGTGTGGCTAGACCTAAAGTTTGATGACCGTACTTTGGAAAATTACTCATAAGAACTTGAAGGAAAGTTAGTGAGTTTTTGTTACTTTCACAGCAACTGTGTGTGATACTAAAATATGATTATGTTTATCCTGCCATACTAATTTTGTTTTACTAGTTAATTCTTGTTTATTTTGCAAATCATTTTCTTGAGCAGTAAGGTTTGAGTAAAATGTAAGGTTTGTCTTCGTTGCTTAAATTTGTGTGTTGGGGCTGGGAAGGTGGCTCAATGGTAGAGCGCTTGCCTTGCATGCATGAGGCCCTGGGTTCGATTCCTCAGCACTACATAAGCAGAAAAAAAGCTGGAAGTGGTGCTGTGGTTCAAGTGGTAGAACACTAGCCTTGAGCTGAAGAGCTGAGGGACAGGGCCCAGGCCCAGGGTTTAGACCCCACGACCAACAGCAGCAGCAGCAGCAGCAGCAACAACAACAACAACAAATTGTGTGTTGTTTTAATTTCTGTGGTTGAGTGGTGTTTAAATAAAACATTCAGAATTCTTATTACCCACAAGTAGTGACTGGCCATTTTTCCTTGGTTAAAACTTCAGTTAGTAAGTAGTTTAAAAAAGCTGCTAATTTTTTATTAGCATACGTTAGTGATACAAGGGAGGTTTCATTGTGGTATTTCTATATACATTTATAGTGTATCTTAATCAGCCTCACCCTTTTTCCCTTTTTCCCCTTCTTAAGACAATTTCAGTAGATTTCATTGTTGTATTTTTATACAGGAGGCTGCTGATTTCTTACTGTATTTTACATAGTTTTTGCTTGAGCAGCATTATTTCTAAGAACAGTATGTGCTTCTTAAATGTTACATGAAGTTATCAGAACCTCTATAAAGACTGACCTTTTATTTTGGAAGGATTTTTTTTTTACTTAAAAGCTTGAAATTTTGAGTGCAAATTTAATCATTTGCAGATTAGTACCACTGTCAGAAGTGCTTTGACAATTTGTTTTAAAATAAGTTCAGTACTTTGTACATTACAAATTTGATTGTCAAATATGGAATTCCCTGAAACAATTGTTTGCAATGTCTTATGTACGCTAACATAAAGCATGTGAAACTGTTCTACTTGACTTATTTCCTGTGAGTTATGAGAAATACTCCTTATGCTTAGAGGTAATGGATCCCAGTTACACCAGACTATTTCCTCTCTTGTTGGGTAGACCATATCTTTTACTTTATTATTTTATTTGTATCTTTTAAAAATTAAAAAAAAATTCTCAGTCATGGGGCTTGAACTCTGGGCTTGGGCGCTGTCCTTGTGCTCTTCAGCTCAAGGCAAATGCTCTACCACTTGAGCCACAGTGCCATTTCCTGTTTTCCAGTGGTTTACTGGAGATGAGAGTCTCACGGACTTTCCTGCCTGGGCTGGCTTTGAACTGTGATCCTCAGATCTCAGCCTCTTGAGTAGCTAGGATTACAGGCGTGAGCCACCAGTGCCCAGATTTTTATGTGTATCTTACATGCATCACTTTTCTTGGTTTATTCTTTTGTTTTACAAATGCTTATTGCATGCCTGTTATATGGAAAGCACTTGGGATACTGAGTTCCTGGGGGGATATCCTTGGTGATAACATACAGTTTCTGTCCTCTAGGAAATAGTAGATAATGTACACACTAAATAAGTGAACAAATGAATGTAATTTGTGATAGTAATGACTGCAGAGACAACAGTGCAGCTATATGATAGAGAATGCCTGAGGGACAAAGAAGCTACTTTGGCTTGGAGTTTTTGCTTCAGCTGAGTCTGAGGTGCAGTTGCTAGTCAACTGACTATCTTCTGGGCAGAGGAAAGAGGCAGTGTAAAGTCTGAAGTAGAAGTCACTTCTGTTGGGGAATATAAGAGGAAGAAGACTATAAAACTTAGAAGAACACTCATTTAGGGCATGATAAGGAGCTACTGGAATTTGAACATAGGAAGCAAATTAGACTTTTTTTTTCCTGGTCCTGGGGCTAAAACTTAGGGTCTGGGTGCTATCCCTGAGCCTCTCTGTGCTCAAGCTAGCACTCTACCACTTGATCCACAGTGCTACATCCAGCCTTTTCTGAGTGGTTTATTGGAAATAAGAGTCTCACAGGCTTTCCTGCTCTGGCTGGCTTCAAACCACGATCATCAGATCTCATCCTCCTGAGTGCTAGGATTAAAGGTGTGAGCCATTGGTGCCTGGCTGCAAATGAGGATTTAAAAAAAATCAATTTTTAAGGATTAAAATGTGCATTTTACTATGACCCATTTGTTGGAGGCGTATACTGGGGGAATAGTGAATGAGGGTGTGGGTGTGGGCGTGTGGGGTATATGTATGTTTAGTGAGAGTGATGGAAGTAGGGAAACCAGGCTGCTGTGACAGTATTCTAAATGCAAGATGATGGAGGCTGAACCTGCATGACTCTGTTGGTACAGAAAATAAATGGAGGGCTGGGAAGGTGGCTCAGTGGTAGAGCGCTTGCCTTGCATGCCTGAGGCCCTGGGTTCGATTCCTCAGCACCACATAAGCAAAAAGGAAAAAGCCGGAAGTGGCGCTGTGGCTCAAGTGGTAGAGCGCTAGCCTTGAGCTGAAGAGCTGAGGGACAGTGCCCAGGCCCAGAGTTCAGGCCCCATGACCGGACCAAAAAAAAAAAAAAAAAAGAAAATAAATGGATTTGATTTAGCATGTGTTTTGGAAATGGAGCTCACAGGATTTGCCGATTGGCTAAAAATAAGTCAAATTTTATTTGTTAGTATTTCTGTTGTGTAGGTGGTTTTTCAGTTGAGTAAACATTTATTAAATTCCCATTGCATAGCTGATAAACTTTTCTTCACTGGAGTTTACTCTTGGGCTTCTTGCTTTCTGGTAAAGGAGATACACCTTAAAAAATAATTTTAGGTGTTAATGAAAAAAGCATATACCTAGGGAACTTGATCCAGACGAAGCTTGTGTGATATTTCCTTTGGGGGTGTTGATGCTTGAGTATTGAGGGTGAGTCTCTAGGAGGAATTAGTTGGGAGAAGTCTATGTCATTAAGAGTAATACTGTTATGTAGAGACTAGAGGTGGAAGAGGATTGGTGAAGAGTTCCAGATGAGCAGGTATCCAGGAACAGGATATGACAGACATTCCTAGAAGCAGGAAGAACTGCCAGCAGGCTATGCCAGGGCCTTCACATTTAACATGAGTCTGATTGGGGAGGGTAGAGTCATTGAAGAGTCTTGGGTCCAGAGGCAGCTTGGTTTTAAGTGTAGCACAGGAGTGTGAGGCTGTCTAGAATGAAGTAAGCGTTCTAGTCATTGGTTAGTCAACACATCAAAGGGAACACAGCTAAAAAGGAGCATGGTCTGTACCACATCAGTCAAGGACCTGTTGCCATTTAGTGAGGTGCTCCATGGAGAAGCAGGTTGGAGCACTTCTAGTGATAGTGCAGATAGTGGCTTTGACCTGATTGTTGGAAGTGATCCAAGGGTAGCTTTACAATGTGGAGGTTACCTCAGTTATATCTCTTTGCCTTTGTATTCATTCTTCTTACAGACTGTTATAGAGATTTGTCTTCATAATCTAGAGCTTTTTCATTATTATTTTTTTCTTTTTTATAAGAATAATGAAAATGAAGCAGTTCTTGTTTATTACCTTGTTTTTCACTAAAAGGTCTTTGAAGCTTGGAGGAGGGCTTATTTATGTAATTTAGCATGCTTTTTAAAAATATAGGTTTGATTCAGGTGCTGATGGCTCATGCCTTTAATCCTATTTAGGAGACCAAGATGTGAGGATCATAGTTCAAAGCCAGCCTGGGTAGGCTGGCTCTATCACTTGAACTGTGCTTAATTATTAGCCTCAAGCACAAAAGCTCAAGGACAGTGCACACGCTCTAAGCCCCAGGACTAGCACAATAAAACAAACAAAAATAGTAGGTCGGGCTGGGAAGATAGCTCAGTGGTAGAGTGCTTGCATCGCATGCATGAGGCCCTAGGTTTGAATCCTCAGTGCCACATAAGCAGGAAAAAAAACAAAACCGAAAGTGGCGCTATGGCTCCAGTGGTAGAGCTGTAGTCTTGAGCTGAAGAGACAGCGCCCAGGCCCAGAATTCAGGCCCTATGACTGACAAAAAAAGAAAGAAAAAAAAAAGTAGTAGGTTGTCTCTTGACAGTATAGTTTGATGTCATTTAAAAAATAACTTAAAAAACTGTTTATTATAAAGTTGTTTACACAGGGATTACTGTTCCATAAATCAGGTAAATGAGTACATTTCTTTTTGGGCAGTGTTGCCCCTTCCTTTTGCTCACTCTCAATGTTTTCCTCTTGTTTTTGCCCACAAGTTGTGTAGTTCATTTTCAGCATAATGTCTACTTTGTACCACTGCTGCACTTTTTACCTTTCGTCCCTCCATTTCTGTGCTCCCTGTATTTTGCTCTCGCTCCCCAAGACAGATAAATGAACAATCTCTTGTTTCCATTTTCTGGAGTTCATTTAGGTATATACTATATAATATGATCAGATAGACAGACACTTTTGTGGAACAGAGGAACACCTTTATGTTCCTCCCCAAAGAGTATCCTCCTTTGGTTTCATTGTGTGTGAATGTCTAGAGTCCTGTATAATTTATCATGTCCCAGTGTATTTTATATCTAGCCTCTGCATATGAGAAAAACATGCACCATTTGTCTGAGCTTGACCTACCTCGCTTAACATGATTTGTTCTAGGTCCATCCATTCCCCTGCAAATGATATAATACTTTTCTTTCTGATGGCTATATAAAATTCCATTCATCTATTGTAGGGCATCTGGGCTGTTTCCATAACTTGGGTATTATGAATAATGTAGCAGTGAACATAGGTGTGCAAGTGTCTTTATGATATCCTGGCTTGTGAGGTTTTGGGTAGATGCCCAAGTGTGATATGGCTGGGTCATAGGGAAGATCTATCTTATGTTCCAGATTGCTGTTCAGAGTGGTTATACTTTCTCACCAACAGTGTAATAAGGTTCC